GTTATTTAGGTGACAGGAAGCAGTTTGTGAAATTATATGGTGGTTGCTCCTTATGTATGCACATTGCTTGTGGTGTACCCCAAGGGTCAGTTTTGGGTCCAAAATTCTTCAACTTGTACATTAACAACATCTGTAAAGTGTCCAAAGTATTAAAAGTGGTTCTCTTTGCTGATGATACAAACATCTTCTGCTCTGGTGATGATCTGCAGAATTTATTGGAGGATATGAAATAAGTAAAGTGAAGTTCTGGCTTGATAAAAACAAATTATCATTAAATTTGAATAAATCTAAACTTATGTTATTTGGAAATAGTAGTTTAAATACAAATGCTGAGATTCAAATAAATGGTGTTGATATTGAAAGAGTCAGTGAAAATAAATTTCTGGGGGTAATAACAGATGAAAAACTTAACTGGGAGCTCACGTAAGATATATTCATTCCAACGTATCACGAAGCATTGCAACACTAAACAAGGCAAAGCAGGTATTAGACAAACATCCCTTCATGTTCTCTACTGTTCACTGGTTTCACCATACTTAAGCTATTGTGCAGAGGTCTGGGGCAACAACTATAAAACCACATTACACTCACTTTGTACTCTTCAAAAAAAAAAGCAGTTCGAATCATCCACAGTGCAGGTTACAGGATCATACAAACTCACTATTTTTGCACTGAAATATTGAAAATCGCCAATCTAGTAAAATTCCAAACAGCACAAATTCTAATCAAAGAAAAAAATAAGGAACTGGCAGGTAATATTCAGAGTACGTTTTTTCTTCTTGAAAGAAGGAAGCTATAATTTAAGGGCTTTTTGTCACTTCACAACAGGGAAGGTTCGTACTAAAAGGAAAAGCTTTTGTGTTTCTGTGCATGGAGTGAAACTGTGGAACAGTCTGAATATGGAATGAAAGCAACGTCAAAACATAGAACAGTTCAAAAAGAGTTATAAAAATATGATCTTCTCAAACTATAAAGAAAAGGAAAATATTGAAATTAAGTGAATCTCTATTTTAAAAATGTCATGATGTGATATTATAGTATATAGTTGTTCACTATTTTTATTACAGATTATATCAATGAGGAAGCAACTAAATATTTTTTTTTCTTCTTCTTTTAGAGGGAAAGAGAAACAGCTGAGAAGAGGGACGGGGGAGAAGGGCAAAAAACAAAAACCAACAGAATGGGCAGAAAAAAAACCACATATATCGATCACCTGGATCACCTGCTGAGAAAGAAAAAAGAAAACAAGCAGAAGAGAACAAGAGTAACAGAATAAACAGCATCACAATGATATATGGGAATATGACAGTAAATACTAAATGTTAAACATTATTGTGCAGCACATAAGATCAACAGAACACAGTGTGCTTTGAGGTAGGAGCCAAAAAGGGTGTAGTTTGTGGGTGTGATCACCCGTGTGTACACCTGTGAGCATGGACGCGCTTGTTTTTAAAAGGTTCCTTCATGTGATGATCTGCTAGAGGGTGTGGGGGGGCCACAGCCCCGTCCTCCAGGGCATGAAGCAGGTATGGAGGAGATCAAAACTCCAGACATCCAGAGGCCCCCAGAACACAAGAGACCAAGGAAGACCAACAGAGGGGCAGCCGCGCCACTGTCCCAGAAAGAGCTGAGGAGAGTCCCAGATGAGGGCTCACTCAGCAGTCGCGGAGCAGAAGCCAGGGGGGGTTGCAGTGACGCGCCCGTGAGCTCCGCCGGCAGCCAGCCGTGCCTGAGTGACCGAGCCCCAGGCCGAGAGGCCGGGGGCACCCCACCTCCGAAGTGGCCCGAGCGAGCCCCAGGCTCCAGGCCCCGATAAGCGGCCGCCAAGGAGTGAGCCGGTGTGTACCCGGACGCCCATCCCCGGACACAAAGAATCACCAACGCACCGCAACTAAATATTAACTGATAACTTATGGGATTAAATCGGTGTGTACTTCTTCCCACTTCCTTTCAACGTGTAAACGAATCAGAACAGCAGCGATATTGAAATGCATTGACTTTTGTATAGTATAACTTTCTCTCTCTTATTTTCTTTACTCAAATCAAATCACTTTTATTGTCACATCACATGTGCAGGTACATTGGTACAGCACATTCGAGTGAAATTCTTGTGTGCGAGCTTCACAAGCAACAGAGTTGTGCAAAATACAATAACATAAACAGGCAAAATATACGAATGGCTAAATCTGAAACTAATAAATATATGTACAATATATAATAGTATATGCAAAAAAAAAATAATAATTTCTGGATGTGTATACTAAATGTTTTTCTACGTGTGTGTGTGTGTGTGTGTGTGTGTGTACACATATTTTACAAATTAAATAGAGTCAACAATAAATAAAATATATAAAAATATACAGAGTGAGACATGTGCAAAACAGTGGCGTTACTGTACAGTATGTAGTGCATAATGTTAAAGTTCCAGTAGTGAAGCTGAGGTGTCTATGACGTGTTCAGCAGTCTGATGGCCTGATGGAAGAAGCTGTCTCTCAGTCTGCTGGTACAGGACCGGATGCTGCAGAACCTCCTTCCTGATGGAAGCAGTCTGAACAGTTTATGGCTGGGGTGACTGGAGTCCTTGATGATCCTCCCCGCTTTCCTCAGGCAGCGCTTCCTGTAGATGTCTTGGAGGGAGGGAAGCTCACCTCCAATTATCCGTTCAGAGCACCGCACTACTCTCTGGAGAGCTTTGCAGTTGTAGGCGGTGCTGTTGCCATACCAGGTGGTGATGCATCCAGTGAGGATGCTCTCAATGGCAGAGTGATAGAAGGTCCTGAGGATGCGGGGGCTCATGCCGAATCTTTTCAGTCTCCTGAGAAAGAAGAGGCGCTGCTGCGCCTTCTTCACTGTTTTGTTTGTGTGTACTGACCACGTAAGATCCTCAGCCAGATGTACACCAAGGAACCGGAAGCTGCTCACTCTCTCCACAGCAGCGCCGTTGATGGTGATGGGGGTGTGTACTTCTCTGCACCTCCGGAAGTCCACTATCAACTCCTTTGTCTTTGCGACGTTGAGGGTGAGATGGTTGTCTTGACACCAGTGGGTCAGGGCGCTGACCTCCTCCCTGTAAGCCGTCTCATCACCGTTGGTGATAAGACCCACCACTGTAGTGTCGTCCGCAAACTTCACAATGATGTTGGAGCTGTTAGTGGCTGTGCAGTCGTAGGTGTAGAGTGAGTACAGGAGAGGGCTCAGTACACACCCCTGTGGAGCACCAGTGTTCAGTGTGATGGGGGATGAGGTGATGCTGCCCAGTCTGACCACCTGGCGTCTGTCAGACAGGAAGCTAAGGATCCAGCTGCAGAGAGAGCTGCTCAGTCCTAGATCCTGCAGTTTCCTGTCCAGCTTCGAGGGAACGATGGTATTGAATGCTGATCTGTAATCTACAAACAGCATCCTCACATACGTGTCTCTCTTCTCCAGGTGTGACAGGGCAGTGTGTAGTGTCAGGGCTATGGCATCATCAGTGGACCTGTTGTGGCGGTATGCGAACTGTAGAGGGTCCAGTGAGTCGGGTAGTGCAGAGCGGATGAAGTCCCTGACCAGCTTCTCGAAGCATTTGCTTACAATGGGGGTCAGGGCTACAGATCGCCAGTCGTTCAATGAGGAGATGGTGGAGGATTTGGGTACAGGGACGATGGTGGCCATTTTGAAGCAGGCTGGGACTACAGACAGAGAGAGGGAAAGGTTGAAGATGTGCGTGAACACTCCAGCCAGCTGAGCCGCGCATGACCTGAGGACGCGGCCGGGAATCCCGTCCGGACCAGTAGCTTTGCGTGCGTTCACCTTCCTGAAGCACCTCCGCACATCCTCCTCAGACACAGTGTGCGCACTGACGTCATCCGCGGTGCGCACACTGTCCGGTCTCATGGTGTTCGCTGCGTCGAATCTAGCGTAGAATACGTTTAGATCCTCACACAGAGAGGCCGTGGTCTGCGGTGTGCTGGTTTTCCCTCTAAAGTCTGTGATCGTGTTTAGTCCCTGCCACATACTCCACATACTAAATGTACCTGTATATTGTTTACATGTTTGAAATAAATTAACAAACAAACAATATGGACATTCTGTGTCCATTGTTTATTTCATTCTGAAACCTAATTTTTATTTACTTTATTCCAAACAGAAGTGTTTATTTATTATTTTGAAAGCTGGAGACAGTGCCAAATAGTTCACTGATATTTTGTTGAATTACAATGTGGACACTCTGCAATAATTTAACAGAAGTGCTTGTGTTTTACTTGAAGTTTTATTTTTTCAATGTTTTTCTATTTAAAGTTTTCAGGGATAAGCCTCTTGAATTTCTCTAAGTAGAAATATATGTAAAAAAAACGATTTTAAATTTTCTTGTAGTTTATTGCACATTTTTGCAATTTATGTAATTACTATGGACTTAATGCAGACATATTATTAAAATTTGGGCTATAACGGTTGTATTGATGTATAGCAACTTGAAATGCTACTACACCATGTAAAAATATAAAGTAAGCTCTGGCAGACTTGGTTCTATGGTAGGTCTTAAAGGGTTAAATCATCAAACTGTAAATCATAGATTTTGAATTGTTATTGATCCTTTACTCCTGGTCCTCAAGTGTATATTTATTCTCTTACTCTTCTTATATTTATTGTTTGTTTACTTGCACTGCTGTAGCTGCAGCCTCGTCGTCTCGTCTCTATATGCTGGACTGTCTGTAGCGGAGATGACAATAAAGTTTACTTTGACTTCAGCAGCGCGCAGGCGCACCGAGGGCTCTCGCGCTCACTTTTCGCGTATAAAATTTCGAAAAAACATCGGTGCAAATTATAAGTCTGTATCATGATGTCTGGTGTTTTCGTGTTTGTTGGTTTGTTTTTATTTTGCGGGTTGGTGATTAGATGCTGCTCCAGCCAGCCAGAGAATCCCCCGCTCAAAAACCGCTACTGTTTCCACCCACTGTGTTTCTCTCCTCTGTGGATGAGATGAAAGGCTGCTGTGAACACAGGTAACAGAAGGTAGAGCCAGGCAGGTGGAGTGAGGCAGGTGTGATGTTGGACATGAAGGAAACTGAAGGAAGTCTGCACTCCTCCTCCTCTGCTCATGCGTGACTCCGCCCCCGGAAACGGAAGTCTGTATGCGCGCGGAGTTTAATTTGAGCAGCATCTCGCGCGCCGGTCAGTGGGTTTCAAAACAGCAGCGAGCAATAATCGATAATCAGCGATCGATCCGTGAACATGGCGACCCCCCCGAAGAGGCCGTGCCCCCCTCCCCGCAGCCCGCCGCTGAACGGCAGCTTTTCCCGTCAAAGGAAGGAGAAGAAGATCTCCATCGAAGGAAACATAGGTGAGCTCACCGGGGCGCGCGCCCCCCGGACCGGCTGGACGCTCACGGACCCCGACTGACCCGGACCGACCGGGGCAAACGGAGCCGGGGGACCGACCCGGACCGCCGGTTAACGAGCTCTCAGGCCCGGGTCTGTAAGTCCGTGAGCCTCCCGCCTTCACGGAAACAAGTGGCGCCAAAACCGCCCGCTTATCATCAATAATCAGCTGTTTGTGATCGATAAATAGCTGTTTCTAGTCACAGTTAGCTGTCCATGGTCAATTGCTGTTTATATCGCAAATCAATTGTTTGTAGTCAATACTCAGCCCTGTGTTCAATAACCAGCTGTTTATAGTCAAAATTTGCTGTCAACAGTCAGTAATCATCTGGACGTTTCCATCAACCGAGTGATTTCTTACGATAATCGATTGATCATCAGCTGTTTGAACTCAATTATAAGCTGTTTGTCTTTGAAAATCAGCTGTTTGTGATCAATAATCAGCAGTTTTTAATGGAGCTGTGCTGCTGGGGTTAGAAGGCGGAGGTTTAAATTTGGGTGTTAAATAGGTGGAGCTTGCTCCTTTAGGTGTTTGAAGGTGAACGCTGGTCATGTGGAGTCTGTGGGCGGGGCTCAGGTGAGCCAGACTGATGGAGGTTTGCAAGTCGAGGTCAGACCTCCAAAGGTTGATTCTGTTCATCTGGACGCAGCGTTTTGTGGAGAAACGTTCTGTCACTCATCCAGGTGACTTCTTCAGTCTCAGGTCAGAGTTTTGATCTCCAGAGCGAGGACGTGACCTCATCACTGAGGTTGGGGTCAGGTGACAGCGTGAGGAGTGTGAGCAGAGACAATCAGAGGTTGAATCAGCTGCTCATGGTTGCCATGGTTTTACTTGATCCTGCGGTCACATGACGTCCTGCAAAAGTCAGCTGTTTCGGTCCTTTTCTTAAGCCCCACCCACACAGGAAGTCCTACGGCATCAGCATTAATGCTGATTTCCTGTATTAGTGTGTGGAGCATCAGTAGCTCATGTCATGTCAGGGTTACCTGAACAGGTGTGATTCCTCCAATCAGGCAGGACCAGAGATCTGTCACATTTCTGTGTCTCACCCGTGTGTCTCACCCGTGTGTCTCACCCGTGTGTCTCACCCGTGTGTCTCACCCGTGTGCCTCCAGCTGCAGGAAAGTCGACATTTGTGCGCCTCCTTCAGGCAGCATCAGAGGACTGGGAGGTCATCCCTGAACCCATTGGCAAGTGGTGCAACGTGCAGAATGACAGCGATGACGTTTACCTGGTGAGCCTGAATGCAGCACACATTCTCTAAAGTCTGTGTTTACTTGCTTGTTTACCTGCTTGTTTACCTGCAGGAGCTGAGCTCATCTCAAAAGAGTGGAGGAAACCTGCTGCAGATGCTGTACGATAAACCCAGCCGCTGGTCCTACACCTTCCAGGTAACACACCTGGCTCCATCCCCTACCATAGCAGCACTGTGTGTCAGACTATGTGTACCTGTCTCAAGTGAGTCTCACCTGTGTGCAGAGCTACGCGTGTCTGAGCAGAGTTCGAGCTCAGCTTCAGTCGCCATCAATCAAACTTCAGCAGGCAGAAAACCCCGTCCAGTTCTACGAGCGCTCCGTCTACTCCGACAGGTAACTTACCTGACAGGTCTCCAAAAGGTTGCTTCTGTTCATCTGCACGTAGCGTTTCATCATCATCAGGTGACGTCTTCAGTCTCAGCTGACTGCAGGTTTCAATCTTATAAACATAATGACTGAAACCAGCCCACTGAGGGAACAATGGGCTGGGAGGGCAGTTCCTTAATCTTAATTATGTAAATTCTCATGACCATTGATCACCTGACAGGTAACTCGCACGCATTTAACACAGACACAGGTGTGAGACATGTAACTCCTGTGTGTACAGGTACGTGTTTGCGTCAAACCTGTTTGAGAGTGGCGACCTGTCGGAGACGGAGTGGAGTGTGTATCAGGACTGGCACACCTGGTTAATGAACCAGTTTGAGTCCGACATCGCTCTCGACGCCATCATCTACCTCAGAGCCCCGCCACAGGTAAAGACGTACAGGAGAACCTGGAGAGTCCTGCCACCTCAGGGTAAACGCATCGCCCTCTGTGATGGGCTCTCCTTCCTTCGGTTGCCTTCAGGTGCCGTGTTTGTGTGTGTATTTTTCAGCGCTGCATGCAGCGGCTGCTTCATCGCGGCCGGCAAGAAGAGCAGGAAATTCCTCTGGAGTACCTTGAGCAGCTGCACTTCAAACATGAAGCCTGGCTCTACCACAGGAACCTCAGGTAACTATATGCCACTGAGCGTGCTCAGAGCCTCAGCGGTGCGTTCAGGAGCGCCTTTTTAACCTGTGTTTGCATTAAGGTTGGACTTTGATTATTTGAGCGAACTTCCTGTTCTCGTCCTGGACGTCAACGACGACTTCAAGAACGACCGCATCAAACAGGAAGCCATCATCGACAAGGTCAGTCTGAGCTTTTATTTTGAAGGTTTTCCTTCTGATGATGGTGGTTTTATTTGTTTTTCATACACGTCCCAAACCGCTCTGTTTCTTCTCTTGGTTACAAACAACCAGTGAACCACTTCTTGTTTGCTTTTATGTAGAAGTCATTGACTCCTCGTCTGTATAACGAGTGACTCTGTTTGTCAGGAGTACCGTCACTGTCAGGGTAAATTGTTAAATGTTGCCATTGTTGCACTTAAATGTGTAAACCGTGCCTTAAACTGCGTGGTTAGATATTCTTCTGTTCGTCCGACACATCTATGATGCTGGAGGAGGTAATCAGCTGTAGCTGTTTAACTACAGGCAGGTTTCATGTGAGATTCTGGTTTCCTTATCTTGTGAAGGATGTCCACTCCCGGCCATTTAGGGGCTCGCCTATGCTTCCATATGGTGAACCATTAATGTTAAGCCATATACGGGTGTGGGGAGATGGCCTTTGGATAACCAGGAAATGTGGTTAACAGTTGTGAGCATATATTGTGTGGCAAGAAGACACACACACAGACGCATGCGGTGATTTTAACCATTTGTGGGTGTTACAATGGGTGGTGCTTGCATTCACTGAATAAAAGGCTGCAGGGAAGGCTGTTTCTTGGAAGTTGGCTAGGAAACAGTGGGGGGTGATGCGTCTCTGAACTAGCGGGCCTGCTGAAGCGCAGACCCAACGATCGCCACGAGAGGAAAGACCGTGAAGCTTTTATTGGGGTTTTTAACAATCAGTATCTTAATTCTTAATAGAAATCTCAGTCTTTGCTGCATTTTATATTCTGACGTGTGCCTGTTTATATAAAGCAACACGCCTAACATGTGTTTAATCTGTTTTTGAACATCGTTCCTGAGAGTAACTGAATAAACTGTGTAAACTCTGTGACCTGCGCAAAAGTTTGTATACTTTGAAGTGACAGTAAAATATGTCAGATTCTTCCATGTTTGGCTGTTTGTTCATGTATGTGCTGCTTCCATCTTTCTGTGCTTGTATTTAATTCTCATTTAACTTTCACCTGGTGGTTTTATTTTGAAAGGCTTTTGTAATCTGGTAACAGGACTTAATTTTTGTCTGCAGGTCAGAGAGTTTCTCACCACACTGTGAAGCTCATCCACCAATGAGAGGTGCTGGGAGAAGTGGTGGCGCGTCTGATTGGAAGACTGATGTGTTTGTTTTTTTGTTGTTGTTTTGTTTCTTTAACTTGTTTTTATATTTTTGTAGTTTAACTGTGTGTGTGTGTGTGTGTGTGTGTGTGTGTGTGTGTGTGTGTGTGTGTGTGTGTGTGTGTGTGTGTGTGTGTGTGTGTGTGTGTGTGTGTGTGTGTGTGTCCATGATATATTTACTTGCTCTTAGCTTCATATTTATCCTTCAGTCTGATCATTCCTGTTTGTCCTGACAATGAGGTGTTGTTGAAGCCACCACGATGCCTTCAGGGACCGTTGGTGTTCTGGTTTCTGTGTGAATAAAGTCAAACTGAATGAGCACGCCTAGTTTTTTTAAAGACCAAAGTCCAACATGTCAGTGAAACGTGTGTGTGTGTTCAGGCTCACTTACAGCTCAGAGGTTTAACTCTGTGAAGCTGGATTTAAGAAATAACTAACTAGTTATTGGAGCATGTTTAGCGCTGTCTTGTGGCGGTAAAGGACGTGACAGTGTAGTCAGGTTAACCAGCGGGCCACCTGACTCAAACAGGCTCCCCTCCACACTGATTCATTCAGTCTACAGACCCGAACATCACAGCTAATGAGTGGATTCACGTGTTTCACTGCAGCTCGCCACAGCGAGAAACCGCCGACAGCATCAGAGAGACACAACGACGAGCCTCTACAGTTCTTATTTACCTCTCAGTTATTGGTTCAGTCGTTAGTTAGCGCCAACCAGGTGACGTCATGTTTTGTACAGGCACAGGATGGCACTATGGACACTCCTTTAGGCCGTGCCACAGATAAACCTGTGATGGTGTCAAAGTAGGGCTCTTTGCTGGAAACCAACCTGAACACGTATGTTTGACCTCTGAGGGTTACTCAGACTGAGTGTGATGGATGATTACAGAGGTCGGTAATGATCAACTGAGAGACGGCGAAGCGTGACGGGAACAACGTCGAGTCATCGTGAACAAGGCAGATTCACTAATGACCTATACACAGACTGGGATGTTCACTAAACATTTCTTTTGTCCCGTAGCTCACAGACTGATTTATGATTGGTTGGTTGATTTGTTGATCAGTAGAAACTCGGTAGAAACAGTTTCATGTTTGAGACATTTTGTATTTCCAAAGAGAAACTTTGTCACAGAAAGAAACAGCCAAACATGAACTGAACAATTCAGTTTATTTTCAATTCAAAGTCTAAAATCAGACAGTTTTTAAATGGAGTCTGGTGTGGCATACTGACGGTTTCATTTTAAGGCTTTTCAGAATCAGAATACTTTATTGATCCCTGGGGGAAATTATTTTTTTGTCACAGTGCTCCATTATAAACCAACATTAAAGAGACAGACAATACGCTAACTAAGAATAGTACAATATATACACACGTGTATATATATATATATATATATATATATATATACACAAGTCACTCATTAATAAATAGCTGGAAAAGAAACGTGTAGTTGTAGCAGTAAGAGTTTCAAGAGCTTTTGTGTGACTGAAGAAACATCTCACGCTGTGACCTCTGACCTGTGTCAGTCTTTCTGCAGCTTCATAAACACTGTAAAGTCGCCTGCTCTGCTGCGCCCTGATTGGGACACTGACACACGTGTCACAGCGTGTTCATGAGTTGCTGCCGCCACCATTCGGAAACATGCTGAGATGATTGTTTGCAAAAACTGCTGGACAAATTCCAGCGAGAAGCTCAGTGAGGAGCGAGGACACGAAAACAGATGACTCCACGGGGGGGGGACAAGTTTCCACAGTTTTCAGATGTTTTGAACACTTCCTGATGAACTGTTATGGACTTTTATTTTGAAATCACAACAGTATGACTAAGAGCCCCAATAAAGTATTTTATTTTGAAAATCTAAATGTCTAATCCTTCTAATTGTTGTCTAATTTTTGTGTTCTATCCAGTTTTTCTTTCTCGACTCATTGAGATACAAACGTATTATTACTGATACATGATTATGTTCCTGTTCCTGATCTTCTGCTCCAGTCTTCCTGTTCTTTATTAAAATACTCGGGTCGCTGTCAGAGCACAGACCGCATTAGTTCTCTGATGGAGTGCTACAGTGTGATCGTTTCCTCCCTGCTGAAGGTGTCTATTTGGTTGGTGGTGATGTTGGTGGTGACTTTGACGATGTCGCCAGTGTCTCACAAACATTAACACAAACACAAAGTTAGGAAAATAGACAGTGTCCTAAAGTCACTGATTAATGTCCAGTCACTCATTTCCTCTCAGTCTGTCTTCTGCCTGCTCCGTCAGTCGCCCCTCCGTCAGCGGGCCGTCCGGCAGCCTCTGTAAGTACTCTGAGTAAATCCTCTTTCTGCCTCTGCATTCTCCTCAGCTGCAGACTGTAATCCTTTAAGAGCTCTTACCAGACTCCATGCAAATATTTCACAATTTTAAACTCGAGAAGAAACTCGGAGCAGTTGTTTTCATGTTTTTCACTCTTTGACCTTTGACCCAAACACCTGCTCAGGTCTGCTGTTTGGTTTCTTGTCAGGTTTGTTCTGATGGAACAAAAGTTCAGATCCTGAGAACACCTGGAAGCACCTGAAGATACCTGCTGCTATTTGTTGTTGTTGCTGAGATGGGATTCGCTGAGCTGCTGGATGAGGTGAGACACTTAAATTCCTCCTATGCAAGAAATAACTTCACTGTCCAGGTGTGTCATACAGGTGTGTAGGGTTAGAGTTAATGTGTTTCCTGTTGTTATGGCAAGGTTGGTGGGTTTGGCAGGTACCAGTGGATCCATGTGACCCTGATCAGTTTACCTGGTTTGCTGATGGCGAGTCAGAACCTGCTAAACAACTTTGTCTCTGGAGTCCCCACTCACTACTGCAGCATACCAGCCAATCACAGCTTGAGCAACCTGTCGCACCTTCACCAGGTGACCTGTCAGCCTGACTGTCTACCTGTCTGGGCATTTTAGTGCAGGCACTATGATCCCATTTCTTTAGTTTTCTCAATTTTACTTCCTTAAATCAATAAATCTGGATGGATGAATGTGATTGGTTGTTTCAGGTGGATGAGAAGCAGCTGCTGAAAATGTTTATCCCTCCTGATTCTTCAGGAAATAGACTGGCCCGCTGCAGGAGGTAAGGTTTTCTTCCTTCTCCTCAGTTGTTTAAATAATTAACCTGACCGTCACATCATTTCCTGTTGCACCTGTTGTCCAGGTATGCAAATCCTCAGTGGCAGCTGTTAGCTGCTAACAGTTCCACTAATGTTAGCCACCTAGAGACCGAAGACTGCATTGACGGATGGACCTTTGAGCAATCAGACTTTCTCGCCACCACCGTCTCCGAGGTAGCGGCAGGCACACGGCGAGCCTATTAGCGCGCATTGCCACAGATATGTTAATGAGGTCACTTGTCTCTTACCTATCAATCTCTCACCTGTGTGTGTCACAGTGGAGTCTGGTCTGCTCCCTCCGTCCTCTCAAACAAATGATTCAAACCATTTATATGGGTGGAGTTTTAACGGGAGCCATAGTCTACGGCAGCTTATCTGACAGGTGAGAGTTACCTGTGTATACCTGTTCATTGTCTCAGGTTAGCAGTGCAATCCGACTCCTTCTGTCTATCTCTCAGGTTTGGGAGGCGGTCCGTTCTGATTTGGTCATACCTGCAACTTGCTGTGCTTGGCTGTAGCTCCGCCCTTTCCCCCACATACTCCACCTACTGCATCTTCAGGTTTCTGAGTGGGATGGCGGTGTCTGGGGTCATCATTAACGGAGTTTCCCTAAGTACCCGTCTACCTGGTTCCTTATTTACCTGTCCACCTGGGCACTTGTCTGTCTTCCTAACTGAGTGTCTCCTCAGAGGTTGAGTGGATCACAACCAAGACGAGGACAGTAGTCGGCACACTCAGTTCCTTCTTCTTCACCTTTGGTCAAATGGTCCTGGCTGGGCTTGCATATTGGCTGAGAGACTGGAGGAAGCTGCAGATGGTTGTCTGTGCACCTAACTTCCTGTTCTTCGCCTACAGCTGGTCAGTCAGACTTAAAAAAAGGACAGTGATTGGTCAGGTGTTTCTCTCTGCTCTCCGATTGGTCAGGTAGTTCTCTCTGTGCTCTGATTGGTCAGGTGGTACTCAGAGTCAGCTCGATGGCTTGTTTTGAACCAGCGCTCTGAGGACGCATTGAAGAGTCTTCACCGAGTTGCTCGGATCAACGGGAAATCAGAGATGATCGATAAGATCACTGTTGAGGTAACCTGGCCACCTGTGTAAAAGTGCAATTTCTCCAATCAGATGCTGAGCTCTGTCCCATGTGACTGCAGGTGCTCCACTCTCACATGAACAAAGAGATTGAGTCGGCTCGTTCAACATTCACGGTGTTCGACCTGCTGAGGACCCCGGGGATGAGACGCATCTCCATTTGTCTGATGGCCGTCTGGTCAGACATACACCAGCTCATATGCTCACCTGTCTCACCTGTTTACCTGTTTACCCATTTACCTGCTCTTCTGTTTACCTGCTTCTTCTATCTGTTTTATGTTTTTTTTATTAAATAAAATGAAGCTCCTGTATCCACCTGTACACCTGTGTACTCACCTCTGTGCAGGTTCTCTACTAGTTTTGCATACTATGGCCTGGCGATGGACCTCCAGAAGTTTGGGGTGAGCAACCCGATACCTGTCTTCCTACTTACCTGCTGAAGTTTCAGTACACCTGTTTAAACTTCTTCTCCCATCCTATTGGTTGGATCTACTGTACTTCCTTCCTATTGGTTGTTTGTTGTTGCAGGTGAGTATTTACCTGATGCAGATCATCTTTGGAGCTGTAGATATTCCCGCCAAACTGTTTGCATTGGGAATACTCAGTTACCTGGGGAGGCGGGTCTCTCAGGCAGTTTGTCTCTTCTTCTCTGCCGCCATCATCTTTGCCAACATCTTTGTCCCCACAGGTACATCCTAATCCTGATCCCCATTCTGAATCTATTTGAGACCCTGGCCCTGATTCTAATTCGGAAACTGATCCCAATCCGTATTCTGATCACAATCTTGATTTAGATCCTATTCCATATCCCCAAATTTATCATAACACTGATTTAGGATTGTGATCCCAAATCTCATTCTGATTCAACCCTGATCCTGATGCAATCTGAACTGTAATCTTAATCCCGACTGTGATACTGCCCTGTTCCTGATTCTAATTTAGATCCCGATTCTAATTCCAATTTGAATTTTTTAAAAGAATCCTAATTCAAATCATGGTCCTGGATTCTGACAACGACCCAATCTGAATCATGATTCGACCCTGATATGAACATAACCCCAATCCATTCCTATTCCCTGTCCTGGATTTGATCATGACCCTGATCTTAATTAGGATCCCAGTCACAATCCTAATGCTGACTCTGATTTCAGTTCAGATTCTGATCCTGGTCTGAAACTGATTCTAATCCAGATCCTATTTCTGATCCTGAATATGAACCTGACTCCGACCCAGAGTCTAATTTTGGATTCTGATCTTTATCCTGATCTAAGTCCCAATCTCTATTGAAGTCTGGGTCTTGATTTTGACCCCGATCCTAATGTGGACCATGATCCCAATTCTAATTTCAATACTAATTCTAATTCCTACCCAAATCTTTGATTCTGGCACTGATCTAGGTCTTTAATCCTAACCCTAATTCTGACCCTATGTCCTGTCGTGAACCTGAACAAAATCCTGACCCTGCCTTGAATTCTGATCCTGGTCTTATTCCCAATCCCGTTTCTAACCCCACAGACATGCAGACTCTGAGGACCACGCTGGCCTGCCTGGGTAAAGCTTTCACCTCAGCCTCCTTCACCACCGTTTACCTGTACACCGGTGAGCTGTACCCAACTGTTATCAGGTGATTAAATAAAACCAATGGCTCATATTTAATATTAAATAATGTTAATTTACCTAACAAAAAACGCATATCTACAGGATCAAATTGCTGAAACAAATGATTAATGAGTTTGAGTAATATTCCTGTTCTGATGACTTCATAACCACTGGTCTGAATACTAAACATCGCAGCTAGGCCAGGGTCATGTGACTCATCTCAATAACTCACTGATAGGATGAGGCAGGGTCTCACAACGGTTTCACCCGAAAACCTTTTTCACACCTTGACTCGGGGGTCAGCAAGCTTTAAGACCCAAAGAGCCTTTTGGACCCGGTTTACACGGAAAAGAAAACTGGGAGCCGCAAATACTTTTTGACATCTAAAACAAAGATAACACTGCACACATGTAAAAAACAATGTAAGATAAGATCAGATAAGATAATAAAGTTCTATCTTATCTTATCTTATCTTATCTTACATTGTTTTTTACCGTTATGCTAAACAACTATAGTGTGTTGCTTATGAAATCCATGAAGTGCTACAAAGAAAATAAAATTTTATTTATGTAATGAACACATTTTGAACTCTTAAAAAATTATAACAAAAAAGAAAAACATCCAGGGGAAGGTCTCTTTTAAATTAATTAAAAAGATGAACTTAAATTTAGCAAACAAAGACTGAGCCGTCATCCTTGTATCCTTTTTGGGCTTTGACCTGAATTTTAAAAATAATTGGAAAAAAGCACTATGCTCCTAAAAAATGAATAATAAATATTTGCAAAATACCTGCATAAATATTTATTTTGCCTGGTTAATGTGTATGGTGGGGCGTGGTCTGCAGTGCTGCTGCAAGAGAGGTGGTCACACCTGCCTTAAAGTCGGTGCTCTCTCTGCTGTTGTGTTATGTGTCGGACTGTGTGCTGGAAATAAGACCAGCTGCATGCGCACAGCAACCGCGTGTGAAAAGTGGCCAATAAAGAGAAGCTGTAAAGCATGTTCATGTAAACATCGTTGGGTCTGCCGTGATATAATAATAATAATAATAATAATAATAATAATAATAATAATGGATTGCATTTCTATAGCACTTTTCAATGGGACTTCTACTCCTGAACCTCTGAACATACTGGTAGGCCGTTCTCGTCAGAAGTAAATGCAAATGAATCTGCCCAGGCATCATTAAATGTTCTATTTTCTTCAGATATTTTTCTTTTCTTACATTTCTCCATACTTGGGCTACCTCGATAAATGCACGGCGTTTCGGCAGATATACCAGCTTCTGCGAGTGTGACTCTAATTTTGAGCAATGAAAAATAATAAAATATCATTTTATTTTTATATTTCAAGATCACGATAATCTTCCAATGTAGAACTACAAGTTAAAAAAAGAACGAACTCAAATAAAATACACTTCAGCTAAATACTTATAATTTATTTTCCCAAACCACGGAGCCGCAGTACAGGGAGTCCAGAATTATTAGGCAAATGAGTATTTTGTCCACATCATCCTCTTCATGCATGTTGTCTTACTCCAAACTGTGTAGGCTCGAAAGCCTACTACCATCCATCCATCCATCCATTTGCTTCCACTTATCCTTTTCAGGGTCGCGGGGGGTGCTGGAGCCTATCCCAGCTGTCATAGGGCGAGAGGCGGGGTACACCCTGGACAGGTCGCCAGTCTGTCGCAGGGCCAACACACAGGGACAAACAACCATTTGCACTCACATTCATTCGCACATTCACACCTAGTGACAATTTGGATTATCCAATTAACCTATCCCCACAAGCTGCATGTCTTTGGACGGTGGGAGGAAGCCGGAGTACCCGGAGGGAACCCACGCAAACACGGGGAGAACATGCAAACTCCACACAGAAAGACCCCGGCCTGATGTTGGAATTGAACTCAGGACCTTCTTGCTGTGCGGCAACAGTGCTAACCACCGTGCCACCGTGCTGCCTACTACCAATTAAGCATATTAGGTGATGTGCATCTCTGTAATGAGAAGGGGTGTGGTCTAATGACATCAACACCCTATATCAGGTGTGCATAATTATTAGGCAACGTCCTTTCCTTTGGCAAAATGGGTCAAAAGAAGGACTTGACAGGCTCAGAAAAGTCAAAAATAGTGAGATATCTTGCAGAGAGATGCAGCAGTCTCAAACATGCAGAGCTTCTGAAGCGTGATCATCGAACAATCAAGCGTTTCATTCAAAATAGTCAACAGGGTCGCAAGAAGCGTGTGGAAAAACCAAGGCGCAAAATAACTGCCCATGAACTGAGAAAAGTCAAGCGTGCAGCTGCCAAGATGCCACTTGCCACCAGTTTGGCCATATTTCAGAGCTGCAACATCACTGGAGTGCCCAAAAGCACAAGGTGTGCAATACTCAGAGACATGGCCAAGGTAAGAAAGGCTGAAAGACGACCACCACTGAACAAGACACACAAGCTGAAACGTCAAGACTGGGCCAAGAAATATCTCAAGACTGGTTTTTCTAAGGTTTTATGGACTGATGAAATGAGAGTGAGTCTTGATGGGCCAGATGGATGGGCCCGTGGCTGGATTGGTAAAGGGCAGAGAGCTCCAGTCCCACTCAGACGCCAGCAAGGTGGAGGTGGAGTACTGGTTTGGGCTGGTATCATCAAAGATGAGCTTGTGGGGCCTTTTCGGGTTGAGGATGGAGCCAAGCTCAACTCCCAGTCCTACTGCCAGTTTCTGGAAGACACCTTCTTCAAGCAGTGGTACAGGAAGAAGTCTGCATCCTTCAAGAAAAACATGATTTTCATGCAGGACAATGCTCCATCACACGCGTCCAAGTACTCCACAGCGTGGCTGCAAGAAAGGGTATAAAAGAAGAAAAACTAATGACATGGCCTCCTTGTTCACCTGATCTGAACCCCATTGAGAACCTGTGGTCCATCATCAAATGTGAGATTTACAAGGAGGGAAAACAGTACACCTCTCTGAACAGTGTCTGGGAGGCTGTGGTTGCTGCTGCACGCAATGTTGATGGTGAACAGATCAAAACACTGACAGAATCCATGGATGGCAGGCTTTTGAGTGTCCTTGCAAAGAAAGGTGGCTATATTGGTCGCTGATTTGTTTTTGTTTTGTTTTTGAATGTCAGAAATGTATATTTGTGAATGTAGAGATGTTATATTGGTTTCACTGGTAAAAATAAATAATTGAAATGGGTATATATTTGTTTTTTGTTAAGTTGCCTAATAATTCTGCACAGTAATAGTCACCTGCACATACAGATATCCCCCTAAAATAGCTAAAACTAAAAACAAACTAAAAACTACTTCCACAAACATTCAGCTTTGATATTAATGAGTTTTTTGGGTTCATTGAGAACATGGTTGTTGTTCAATAATAACATTATTCCTCAAAAATACAAGTTGCCTAATAATTCTGCACTCCCTGTATAAAGACTGAAGGGCCGCACGCTGATCAATAGTGGGTCCAGGACCATCTTAGGGGACACTCCCACGGGGCTTAAAAACTGGGATTCTCTAACATTTCATCTGAGAACTGAAGAAGCTTCTCAGTTGAAAGATCTTCAAGCAACTTAAAGAAGTCCAGACTGCGATGACCTGATGGCTGAGAACCTTCAGACATGTTGCCTTGCACTCTATAAACTAAATTACCAGCTGACGGGGGGAGAGCACTGTTGTTTTATTATTATTTAATGCTGACCTATGCTTCCTTATTTTTCTTACTGTGTGGAACTTTGACATTTTGAATAATAATTCAAAGTTATGTTACAAACAAGGGCAATACAAATTATTAACCTGCTGGCTGTTACCATCACACTGTTTCCATAGTCCACATTATGAAACTTAAATGAGTTATTATTACTATTATCTCTAAAGCACAGTGAAAATGACACAGTCTAAACTGTGTATAAAGTTTGTTTTTTCAGTGCAGGAATCAGACAAAAATGTGTTTCTGTTGTTGGGCTTGAACGGCAGAGTACTAAGTATGAAAATGTGTAATTCTCTTTTGGTTTTTAAATGGATGTGGTATCAGTTTTAATGAAGTTACATGTTTGTTTGTTTGCTGTTTAGTTTGTTGTTTTTTCTGTTGTGGAGGGTAGAGTTGCTTTAATAATGAGAACACGGCATAAGTGTTGCAGCCTGTTCAGTCACAAACTTTATATAAACGTTTTCACACTATCTGCGTAACGTGGTGATTGGTTAAAAATAAACATCAGCACGTTAAAGATGAGTGCACTGAGCTGTAATTACCAACGGCCAACGTGTGTTTATGAGTCTAATGCTGGTTAGCTTTTGGGATTAGCATGGAGCAGAGCTAGCATTAGCTTACGCAGGTGACCAAACCCTGCAGATGGTGACGCTCAGAACCGCGTGGACCTCCATAATTCACCTCAGTGTGTGAAGATAAGATAGAACTTTATTAATCCCTCGGGTGGGTCCTCTGGGAAATACGAACACACACGAACACACACACACTTCAAGTATTGAGTCTATTGCACTGTTGACTATTTACAAAAAGTATTGCACAAGGTATTGTACAGTGAGCTTAGTTGTCCCCCCCTCCTTTGTCCTCCTGTTTCCTGTTTCCCCTCCCTCTCCCCTCCAGAGAGGAGTTAAACAGTCTGATGGCGTGTGGGACAAAGGAGTTTTTAAGTCTGTTAGTTCTTGTCTTTGGGAGAAGCAACCTGTCACTGAACAGACTCTTCTGGTTGTTTATGGCTGTGTGCAGAGGATGCCCAGCATTGTTCATAATGTCCATCAGTTTCTTTAATGTCCTTTTCTCTGCCACTGTCACCAGAGTGTCCAGCTTCATGCCGACCACAGAGCCAGCCCTCCTGATCAGTTTCTCCAGCCTGGATGAGTCCTTCTTTGCTGTGCTGCTCCCCCAGCACACCACAGCATAGAAAAGTACTCCAGCAACCACCGACTGGTAAAACATCCTCAGGAGCTTCCTGCAGATGTTAAAAGACCTCAGCCTCCTGAGGAAGTACAGTCGGCTTTGGGCTTTTTTATACAGGTGCTCTGTGTTGCATGACCAGTCCAGTTTATTGTCCACCCACAGCCCAAGGTACTTGTTGACCACCTCCACCTCCTCCCCCTCTATCTGAACCGGCAGTGGACCTTCTCTGGACCCCCCGAAGTCCACAACCAGTTCCTTAGTCTTTGAGGTGTTGAGTTGCAGGTGGTTTGTGTGACTCCATGCGACAAAGTTCCTCACCAGACTTCTGTACTCCTCTTCCTGATCATCCCAGATACACCCCATGATGGCTGTGTCATCTGCAAACTTCTGAATGTGGCATAATTCAGAGTTGTAGCAGAAGTCAGAGGTGTACAGGGTGAAGAGAAGAGGGGACAGCACAGTTCCCTGTGGTGCTCCTGTGCTGCTGACCACAGTGTCTGTCAAGTGTTCCTCTGACTGTGAGGTGTCCACACTTGAAAAAGACCAGACTTTGAATTTCACTCAACTTTATTTAGACCAACTAGTTTGATAGCTGGTAGGTAGCAGCAGGTAAAAAACCTTTCAACACAAAAATAAAGAACATTCCATTAACCAGTAACATTCAGATAAATTACATGCATTACACAGAAGACAGATGAAATAACAAAATACACTTCAGTAAAGCCATTTACCATGTGGTTAACTGTTAATTTAACTGTGGTTCTTAAATATACAAAATGTGTCTTCTTTGCATTAACACTTTTTTTATAAACAATTGTATTTTAAAGTATACATTTTAAAGTTCACAAACATTTTAATAGACTTTAACTAAGGATTTTCTTTACAAAGAATTATTTTCTTTAAATCAAAACCAAACATTTATTCACTAGTTTTACGATCCACCCAAGGATTTGGGGTAACTATTTTTAATATTAATTAACATAAATATGTGGGAACACTAACTGCACAAACAATTTATTCAAACTTAAACATTCATTTTTGTCAATATAATTTTTTAAACTTAAATGCAGCAACTATTTCCCTAAGCGTAAAACATTTGCACAACTGAGCTTCCATAGTTCCAAATATATGTGCAGCAAATGTGAGCTCAAGAGCTTACCGATAGCCCGTCTTGTTCAAAGTCTTCCTCACAGTGGAAAAGTGGATCGTACTTTGTTTGCTGTCCTCTCAGTATGTCGCACACGGGTCAAATGACTGCTGCATGCATTTTAAGGTCTACTAGGCACGCCCACCCTTGATTGCTCTAATGTGGCTCACCTGGCAGGGCGGCGCACACCAGGCCGTGCTTAGTTGTTGATTGCACCCAAGGTCTAATCAGTGGCCATGCTCAAACAGCAGCACCGAACAGGTAGTGGGCAGGAGGAGGAAGAGAGGAATAACAGGCACACCTACTAGGTCAGCGCGACAGTGTCAGACGTGATGTCCTTCAGCCTGACGTACTGTGGTCTGTCGGTGAGGTAGTCGGAGATCCAAGCCACCAGGCAGGGGTCCACCTCCATCCTGTTCAGTTTTTCCTGAAGCATACAGGGCCGGATGGTATTAAAGGCACTGGAAAAGTCCAGAAACAGGATCCTGACCGTGCCTTTTCCCCCATCCAGGTGTGAGTGGGCTCTGTGTAGGAGGTACAGGATGGCATCCTCCACTCCGACACCCACCTTGTATGCAAACTGTAGTGGGTCCTGGGCATGTTGTACCTGTGGTCGGAGGAGGTTGAGGAAGAGTCGCTCTAGAGTCTTCATAAGATGTGACGTCAGTGCCACCGGTCGGAAGTCATTCAGCTCATTGGGCCGGTTCCTTTTGAGGACTGGGACGATGCAGGATGTCTTCCATAGGGCGGGCACTCTCCCCAGTCGCAGACTGAGATTGAAGACTCGTTGTAGCAGCTCCCCAAGTTCAGCAGCACACGCCTTAAGCATCCTAGGACACACCTTGTCTGGGCCTGCTGCCTTTCTGGGGCGAAGCTTCCTCAGTTGCCTCCTGACCTGATCCACTGTGACACTGGGAGATGTTTGGGAGGAGGGGAGGGGGGGAGATGTCTTGCTGCTGAGAGAGGGATTGGAGGAGGGGGGTGTCATGGTGTCAGGAAGGGGGGAAGCGAGGGAGGTAGGAGAGTGGGGATTGGACTCTGTAGTGAAGGTGAGGGTGGGGGGGTTGTGGGCTGGTCAAACCTGTTGAAGAAGTTGTTGAGTTCGTTTGCCTTCTCCACAGTCCCCCCACTGTGCTTTTCTTGGTGTTGTGGCCTGTGATGGTTTTCACACCATTCCAGACCTCCCTCATATTGTTCCTCTCCAACTTCTGCTCCACCTTCCTCCTGTAGGTGTCCTTTGCTTCCCTCAGGCAGCGTTTCACCTCCCGCTGTGCTGCCTTCATCTCCTCCTTCACTTTGCTCCTGAAAGCCTTCTTCTTCATGTTGAGGACAGCTTTGACTTCCTGTGTTACCCACGGTTTGTTATTAGGATAACACCGTACCGTCTTAGCAGGGGCGACCGTGTCCACACAAAAGTTGAGGTAGTCTGTAAGACAGTGTGTCGCCCCCTCTATGTCCTCACCATGTGGGCTCAGGAGCACATCCCAGTCTGTGGTGTCATAGCAGTCTCTCAGAGCGACTCTCCTCTGTTAGCATAATGCCAAACATAAGAAGCTTATCAGAATTCTTCTTACTCTGATAAGCTAAATGATTTGTTTCCTTGCTACATCATGTCATTTCCTGTTTGCATGTCTGTTTTATGTCATACGTAAAAACATTTAGATCATGTGATGTGTGCCTGTGCTTTCAGGCAGACGGGAATGGGCTTCGTCTCCACCATGGCAAGAATTGGCAGCATGGCAGCGCCCGCCGTCCTCATCCTAGATGAAGTAATGTCACTAATCTAACCGTCCTTTGAATATGATCGAGGTCATCAATACAGGCAAACACTTTACTGATGGGACGACATTTCCCAGGTACTCCCTGCTCTGCCTAGCTTGGTGTACGGTGGCTCGGCCGTGCTCGCCGGCTGCTTCGCCTGCTTCCTGCCAGAGACGCTCAACGTGCCGCTGCCTGACACCATCGAGGACGTGGAGGCCAGGTGGTAAGCTACCGGCTATCTGCTAGCTTTACCAGAGCCACCTTCAGGGATCACAGAAAGTGTCAGGGATATTTTCCTGAAACTGCTGGATAAACAGGCACTCACTCAAGAACGAGATCGCACAGCGCTCTTTGTTGCACTTGCCGCAAGGGAAGTAGCTGCCTCCGAACTACTTCAACTAGCTTCCCTCTGCAGGCTGCTTTTATTGGTTACGCTCATGAGTATGCATTTTACAACTACATGTGACATTCCTGAGCAGGCATATCTGAACAACATCAGTGTCTGTATTCTGTGTGTGTGTCTTCCTGCCACACAATATATGCTCACAACTGTTAACCACATTTCCTGGTTATCCAAAGGCCATCTCCCCACACCCGTATACGGCTTAACTTTAATGGTTCACCATATACAAGCGTAGGCGAGCCCCTAAATAGCTGGGAGTGACCATCCCTCAGAATGTGCCTGTAGTTAAACAGCTACAGCTGATTACCTCCTCCAGCATCATAGAATATCTAACCACGCAGTTTAAGGCACGGTTTACACATTTAAGTGCAACAATGGCAACATTTAACAATTTCAATCTAACAGAAGGGAGCTAAGATTAACCACAGAACAGAGCTAGAAACATAGAAATGTACTTAAAGGTGACAGACCTAGAACTTAAATCCCTTCATAAACCCAAAATAAATCACAAACCCACCAAACTCAAACACTGAGTCACAGGAACCATGACCGATTCTTCAGTCTTCTATATCTGCTGTTCACATTCAAATGTTTGTATTAACAGTTCTTTAACCTTCTCCTGAACACAGTTATTATTTCAGACATGCAAATATAAGTGAAATAACAAGAGGAAAAACAAATCAAGTTTTCATGTATATATCTATGTCTGCACATAAAAGCAGCAGGATGAAGTTTACACTTTTCCTGTTCCCACCCCCTATTTCAAATTGCATTGCTTTCAAATCCATAATTAACATTAATGGATCCATACATGTTTCACTATGTACAAGTGCAACACATGAACATACACAAATAAAACAATTTTCAGCACGTAAACAAAAACAACAACAAACTACTATGTTTACATCAACTAAGCGCCCTGTGTTTAACTTAATCTCTGAGCGTATTTCACATATATGTGACAAACACCTGAATGAACACTTCATCCTGGAGTACTCTGACAATGACCTATAAAAATGAGGACACAATGAGACGACTCAGTCACTGACAGGAAGATTTCCTATATTCATGCATTTATTCTTTTTAAACAGGCGTGTGAGTTTTATGTACTTTTCTTGATCTCACCTGTGCAGGTGTTGCACACACTAACTCCTCTGACTGTAATACTGTGATATTTTACATTTGTCCTTCAGGTCAGGAGTATTCGGTCTCATTGTGGGGCAAAGACTTATTTGCTGCTTTGTACACTGTGCAGTTCTGAGGGCGACCAAATCTTTAAATTTGAGAATATCTAATTTGACAAAAAGTGGATTTGATGGTTCTCTTGCAGTAGTTTTATTTTTCATCCCTATTACTCTCTTTTGCAGAATCAGGGCTTGCCACAGTTGCACTGGTGCGCCTAACTTTTTTCTTAGGCGCACCGGCACAAAAGTTAGGCGCACCCAAATTTTTAAACCGCATCTCTTTACACCGCAGTTTTACATGTGCACTTTATTGGGGGAATTGCTGTCCATACAGACAATACTGATTTATAAATGATTCACTAACAATCTTGTCAACACAAAGTTCTTTATTTGGAGCACATTTCTACCAGACAGATAAGTTAAAAAGTGCTTGTGCTTAAAGTGCTTTGGCTCTCTTAATGATCACATCGGCTCCTCTGACGACCTGTTTGCTGCTGCCTGCCGCTGAAAGGCAGCGGGGGGAGGGGACACTTGGGCATTCATCGCAGCATATAATGTGTTTCTGGACACACTGCTGCTTTTTCAGCGTTCAAAGATTGATGGCTCTGTGTCAGAGCTGGCTGTGAACTTCAGACGGATCAGGCCTTAACAAAAAAGTTATCAATCGTTCTTTTCATCTTCTCTTATTACCCACAGCTACATCCACTCTGTCAGGCCTAGGCTGCTCACTGGGGCTGGGTACCATCACTGATTTCTACAATCCATTTGATTCGATTCAGTTTTGCCTCAGACAGTCAGAAATATTAATATTCTGATCATTTATGAGCACTGATACATGTGAGACTTCATCAGAGGCGTGAGCATCACAGCAGAGGCCTTTGTGTCAAAGTAACTGAGAATAAAACAGAAAAACATGAAGCAGATTTTCCTGGCCTGGATTTTTATAGCAGATAACCTTAAAAATATTCTGCAATTTTGCATAGTTTGAAAAAGTTTAAATTTTAATGTACAACATGAATAGCAGCGGCCCCCAAACTGATCCTTGTGGAACCCCGCACACAATTTTGACTTTATGGCATTTATTTGGGTAAATTGTTTACGGTTTTTAAGGTAACCCATGATAATGCCCCCTCACTGACCCCACATGTACATAGTTTAAGTTAAAGATTGTGATCAACGGTATCAAATGCTTTTTTTAAATCTAAAAAATTCTGACAGCATATTCTTTGTTTCCAATAGCAATTGTTACTGTATGTATAAACTCCATTAAGGCACGTGTTGTGGTCCTTTTGGGTCAGAATCCATACTGCTGTTCATATAGTGCATTGTTTTTTTGATAAAGTCATATAATCTATTGTAAAATATTTTTTCCAGTATCTTAGAGAACTGCAGTAGTAGAGAGATGGGCCGATAGTTTGTGAGAAGATGTTTATCTCCAGCTTTATATATTATATGCTACCTTTGCGATTTTCATCTTATCAGGGAATAAGCCACTTTGTAATGGCAGATTACAAATGTAGGTAAATGGTTTCACAATACATCCAATAATATCTTTAATTAAGTCCATATTAATACCACCACAGTCAATTTCTTGGAGTTAAAAGATGTAACTATATCAATAATTTGCTCTTCATCTACACCCCTCATTAACATTGAGTTTGCTACATTAATAGTTTTAGGAGGGTGTCCAGTTTTTAAAGTTTCTTTAGCCAAGCCAGGGCCAACATCAAGAAAAAAGTAATTAAAACCATTTATGTCACTAGTCGTTGTATTTTGCATGAATGGAACATGGAGAACATGAACTGCTCTTCTGGCTTCTCTTGCCTACTCCTCGCTGCTAGAGACCTGGCAGCTCTTTGCATAGCCGAGCCAGATTTGGCCCGAGGGAAGAAGCAGCTGAGACCCTCAGTATGTCTTGAAGATGATCATCAGTAGTTCTGGACCTGTACTTGGACTTACTGAAGTCCAAGGTGGAGAAGAGCTTTTCGCACAAGTATGTGCTCCCAAAAAGGCACATGGTCTGCTTGAATATTCGGGAAAGCCGAGGGAAACTAGGGCTCAATCCTCTCAAAGGTTGCCCAAGCTGCTTTTCCACTCACCTCCCTGAACTTCACTTTGAGTTCAGAGTTGCACTGCAGCTCAATGATTCCTCCATTTGAAGAACAGAAGAGGCATCTTGCACATCAAAGGAGAAGGGGTCCGCAAAAATGTGAAATGTGGCTCTGTGTGTCTTGAAGTCAGCAAATCTGTGATCAAATTCCTCCTGTAGCCTCAAAATGACATCAACATACTTTTTTTCCTGCATCCACGAGTGCCTTGCATGCTGGGAGATGGCAAAGGTTTGTCTGAGAGAGCTGAGCTTTCCAGAGCGCCAGTTTTGTGGAGAATGCTCTCACGTTGTCATAGGCAGCACTGACGAGTTGCCCCTGGCCTTGTAACGTCTTGTTCAGTACATTAAGCTCATGTGTCATATCAACAAGAAAAGCTGAGTCCATGAGCCATTTGGGATCAGTCAGCACAGGAACACTAACTCCATCCTTCTCCATGAAGGCTTCACTTCTGCTCTCAACTCAAAAAGTCTCTTTAATACATTTCCCCTGCTGAGCCAACGTACCTCAGTGAAGTCGAGCACATCCCCATATTCTGACTCCATTTCCTCTAAAAAAAGCACAGAACCTTTGGTGCTGTAAGCCCCTGGATCTGATTTGGTTGATGCATTTCACAACAGTTTTAACTCTTCCAGTTTTATTTGAAGTGCCACCAGTCCATGTTTCCTCCCTGTCATTGATGACGCTCCATCTGTTGTTATTCCAACAAACCTCTTCCATGGCAAATCTCAATGGCATCACACAGCTTGTAAATATCTGCTGAGCGGTGGTCTGGCCATGCATTGGAATTACTGTGAGCAGCTCCTCCATCACTTCAAAACTGTCATCAACACCACGGACATACATTGGGAGCTGGGCAGTGTCGGTGGTGTCTGTGGTCTCATCAAGAGCGACTGAGTATACACTGAAACATTTGGCTTTCTCACACAGTTGGTCATAAATGTCACTTGACAGGTCAGAAATGCGATCTGCTGCGGTGTTGGCAGAAAGGCTGATGTTGCTAAACTGACCTTTCTTTTCCAGACAGACTATATTTGCAGCCTGCAATATGCACTTTTAGACAAATCCCCCTTCTGTGAATGGCTTTCCTGCTTTAGCAATCATCTCACTGACCACGTGGCTCCGACTGCTGCCTGCTGCATTATTCTCTTTGGTTGCTTTCTTGAAGAAATCCTGCTGCCTCAGTAGATCTGTTTTAAGACTGGCAACCCAGTTCGCTCTCTCATCTCCCTGGTATTTTGCATCCACCTCAGCATGTCTAGTTGTGTGATGACATTTCAAACTGTATTCCTTGTGCAGCGCAACTTTCTCTGTGCAAATAAGACAGGTCGGGGTGCCCCTGAACTCAAAGAAACATTGCATTTCCCACTTTTCCTGAAATTGTTGGTGCTCATCACCAACCTTTCTGTCATGTTTGGGCTGTGTGGCAGGCAGGAATGGACCTAAACGCAAACTCACAGGAATGGAACTTAAACTCAAAAGCACAGCTTTTATGGTGGGAAACAGATCATACAAACAATACAAAACTAAACTGGGAAAAACTAATTATAATGTGCACAAGGAGACACAGGGAGAATCACACACATGGGATGATGCGACACGGAAGAGAGGGAGGCTTTGACAAATCAATACACAGAAGGTGATGAGGGAAGTGGAAGCACACGGGGATCACAGCTGAGGATAATTACACGCGACAGGACGGGAAAGACACAAAGTGAAGGTGCTGACACCAGACACAAACCTTCAACACAACACGGGACGTACACAGAGGCAACCTGGAGAGGGAGAGAGAACAAGGAGCAGCACATGACGGGGTGAGGAAAACACGGAGCGCAGGGTACCAGAACTAACATCACAATATAAACACAGTTACACAAAGGGAGACACAGAGGGCAACTACATGATAGCGAGCGCAAAAAAGGCTGCTCATGGACTGTTATCCTGTTGTTACAGGAGAAAGAAGCAGAAATGACACTGTGACACATAACAAATCAGCTGTTGTTCAATTCAATTTTATTTATATAGCGCCAAATCACAACATAAGTCGCCTCAAGGCGCTTCATAGATACAGAGAAAAGCCCAACAATCATATGACCCCCTATGAGCAAGCACTTTGGCAACAGTGGGAAGGAAAAACTCCCTTTTAACAGGAAGAAACCTCCGGCAGAACCAGGCTCAGGGAGGGGTGTTGTTGATGTTTTTTGTTTTGACTACTTTTACATTATATTGCAATATATGTAATGTTCATGTGTGAGGCAATGTAAACAGAGTGATGTAAATAAAAAAACATCGACCCACACATTACGGTACGACCCTATAATTAGTCCGGGTTACCGCGTCGCTATGTGACTGCAGAGTAAATTAGGCTGCATCCTTACTTTTCTTTTATGGCGCAGCTTACTTATATAAATATATATATGTACAATGTCCCGCCGGGCAGCAACTTGAAAAACAACTTTTTTGAAGTGTTGTGAACGCAGCACGCTGGGGCGAATGTCCGCGTGTGCCGAAACGAGGCAGTCAGCCAGGCACAGAAAAGAAAACAGTCCAGGGCAACGCTGTTGTACGTTTCACTCAATGAGAAATGTTTCTCTGCTTGCATCAAGTCCCGCCGATGTCCCGCCCCCGAGATCCATATCCCACCGTGATTGGTAGGTTCGTTCAGCTCCACACACAACACTGTAAAGTGTCTTACATATCAAACTCGTGGGCCGCACTAACATTACATTTGCATATTAAGGCGGGGGCCAGTTGTGGCCCCTGACACAGACAATACAAAAGGTGACACGTGGATAAAAATGTAAGCTTAAAAAAACAAAACAAGCATTGATCAACAGAAGGCCTGTTTAAACAGAAAAGTTTTAATTGCTTTTTAAAAGAATCCACATTGTCAACCAAATGTAGTTGTGGTGGTAGACTGTTCCACAGACTTAAAGGCTCCGCCCCCTTTAGTCTTCAGAATGTTCCTTAAATGAAAGAAACAGTAGATGCTAGAAAGCCAATCAGAAGCCTGGGTTAAGCACTAGACTAGATTGGACAGCCTACCCAGCTGATGAGGCTTAAAGGACATATGCAGCTGAATGTCATCGGGATAGAAATGAAATAATGTCACTAAAAGATTGAATGATGCCAGCTAAAGAAAGCGTGTAAAAAGAAAACAATAATGGACCCAAAACTGAGCCCTGTGGAACAGGTTAGGTTAGGGACGCAATGATAGAGGTCAATCTGATGAGTTTTCAAACCCAAAGGACCATCTCTCTCCATTTACTCCATTATTAACGCGAACTTGTGTGAAAAAGTACATTCCAGTTCTGGTACCTAAATTAGCTTCAGTGGCTGTGTTAGCATCACTAGCTGTGTTAGGTTAATTAGCTGCGATGCTAACATCCTACTGTTGCTCTCTCATAGACTGATCGATCACCTGATAATTAAAGATGAGTAATCACATGTCTGTCTTTGTAAAGGTCTGGCAGACGCAGCGCCTCACAGCAGGAGTGCGTGGCTTTAAAGGAGCTCAAGGAAGCAGAAGAAAGTGGCCTCAATGCGCTCTGACCAACAAGACGCTGCCACATCACACCATCAGGACCAATCAAAAGGGGACTGACTGTTGACCAATCAGGTGTTTTTAAGATACAGACCAATGAAGATATCTAGAGTAAATTAACTGGTGATTATTGATTGATCTCATGTAATTGATCAGATCAGAACAGCAGACAGTGATAATGATCAATAATTAATAACACTCTCATTACTGTTGTATTGAACCATCATTAATAAAGATGTTAATCTGCTCCTGAGTTTTGACTATCAGGCTTCAGGAATGAGCTCCTGTGTGGGAAGCTCTTCCTCATCAATATAAATTTAATATAAGAATATTGATTAGCTGGCACTCAGGAAGAAAGCTGCCAGCTTTGTACACCAGCACTGCTGGGTAAGATAAAGTTTTTACTACAGGGCAAAAAAAGATCCATTTGATCCACTCTGACTGCTCACCTGAGCTAAACTAATTTGGAAATGGAAGTGGTTCTTATATAGTGTAAGAAGCTTTATTCAACTTATTCAACCTCAAGCTCTTTTTCTATGCTTACGTGTTCTCTATGTAACAGTGACACTGTGATGCATCCATCGCAGAGAAACCCGGGGTTAGGATCTTGCCCAAAGATATTTGGCATGCAGACTTGAGCAATCAAAGATCAACACACAAACCTCCTAATTAGTTGATGACCTGCTCTACTTCCTGAGCTACAACCACAAAAGCCATCATCAGTGGAGCTGTGATAGCACAGGTCAGCATGGCAACAGGTAAACAAAGAGCAAAGTGTCCATGAAGACGTCAAACCGTGACATTCATTGAGTTTAACCTGACTGGACAAAACACCCCTGAAAAGTGTGCAACAGGCAGGTGATGAGGGTGGTGGAGGTGTTGGTCAGACCCCCTGAGACTGAGTCAGGTGGTCAGGTTCAAACTGTACCTTTTAAAAGTGTACTGGCTGAATCTCAATGTGTGAAATCATAATCGAATGTAATCAGATTACTTTCAGACTGTCTGCAGCTGTTTTAAAAGCTTAGGGTTGATAAAGATAAGATAAGATACCTTTATTAGTCCCGCAAGGGGAAATTTCATAATTAGCCATAATTTCATGAGGCTGCCGACCTATTGCACGCAATGGCGGCGCCATCTTACCCTCCGACCACACATACACACATACATGACACAAAACATCACATGGGGAAGACAGGTCAGAGAGGTATAACAATGGAAAATGCACCACATGAGGAAAGATAAGGAGAAAAAATAACTCCCCCCAGACTGAGCTCCAACAGGGAGACCGGTAGTGATGTGCGATACCACTGATTTCTTTTCTGATCCGATACCAAGTAATATTCAGGGTGGCATCGACGATACTGATCCGATACCGATACTTTGTACAAAAACTTATTTTAGTTATTGTATCTCAAATTATAGCATCATAATGATTACAGGACATCAGATTACTTGTTCTTATCACTTAATAATGCAAAGTTCATCATATAGAAATAAAAAACCTGAAGTTGTGCCTATTTGAACACCTTGCCTGCCTGCAGCACTAAAGGACTCCGTGAGAGACGTCTGTCTCGCCCCAGCAGCACCTGTCCTTCTCCTCCTCTTCAGTTCGCCTCAACATAAGCTCGTCATATTCTGTGATATGATTTACTCTGTGTCTGACAAATTTGTGGTGTTGCCACAACATCTCACTTTCTTGCCACATGTATCACAAACTACGTTTGTGGATGTAAAATACGTCCGCACATGACTCCATTTACGCTCAGCCATTGTTGTGAGTGCGCACACCAAGGGGCTGCGACACATTTATACATTTCGCACATGTCTATGAAAGGCGGAAGAGGAAGTAGTTCCTTCCAATGTAGACAATCCGAATGAAATAGGTTCTTTCCACTGTGTTCCTGTTAATGATAAACTACAAATTTACCCTAAATTACTAAAATATCGATATTTTAATGTGAGAATCGATTCTAGTCCTGACAGGGACTAGAAAGAGAGCAGATTTCTCCTGTTTTGGCTTCCTGTTAAATCCAGAATTCAAAATCCTGCTCCTCACATACAAGGTCTTAAATAATCAGGCCCCATCTTATCTTAATGACCTTGTAGTACCATATCACCCTATTAGAGCACTTCGCTCTCGCTCTGCAGGCCTACTTGTTGTTCCTAGAGTATTTAAAAGTAGAATGGGAGGCAGAGCCTTCAGTTTTCAGGCCCCTCTTCTGTGGAACCAGCTTCCAGTTTGGATTCAGGAGACAGACACTATCTCTACTTTCAAGATTAGGCTTCAAACTTTCCTTTGAAAGGGCAATCGTGGCTCAAGCGTTAGGAGTTTGCCTTGTAATTGGAAGGTTGCCGGTTCGAGCCCCGGCTTGGACAGTCTCGGTCGTTGTGTCCTTGGGCAAAACACTTCACCCGTTGCCTACTGGTGGTGGTCAGAGGGCCCGGTGGCGCCAGTGTCCGGCAGCCTCGCCTCTGTCAGTGCGCCCCAGGGTGGCTGTGGCTACAATGTAGCTGCCATCACCTGTGTGTGAATGGTGGTGACTGGATATGTAAAGCGCTATATAAATACAGGCCATTTACCATTTTTGCTAAAGCATATAGTTAGGGCTGGACCAGGTGACCCTGAATCCTCGCTTAGTTATGCTGCAATAGACATAGGCTGCTGGGGATTCCCATGATGCACTGGGTGTTTCTTCTTCACTCACTGTATTAACAGACCTCTCTGCACTGAATCATATCTGTTATTAACCTCTGTCTCTCTTCCACAGCATGTCTTTATCCTGTCTTCCTTCTCTCACCCCAACCAATCACAGCAGATGGCCCCGCCCCTCCCTGAGCCTGGTTCTGCTGGAGGTTTCTTCCTGTTAAAAGGGAGTTTTTCCTTCCCACTGTCGCCAAAGTGCTTGTTCATAGGGGTTATTTGATTGTTGGGTTTTTCTCTGTATGTATTATTGTAGGGTCTACCTTACAATATAAAGCGTCTTGAGGCGACTGTTGTGGGGTTTGGCGCTGTGTAAATAAAACTGAATTGAATAATTCCACACCAGCCTATCAATCAACCAAACACCCAGACAGACGTTTAACTCATTTGAAAGCCTGATGCTTAGCCTTGTCCATCCCAGCTGTAAAACTCAAAAACCAGTCTTATTCGTTATCATTTATTGTTCACCTGGGCCTTACACAGTCTCTGTCTGATTTCTCAGACTTTTTATCTGATTTAGTGCTCAGCTCAGATAAAATAATTATTGTGGGTGAATGGTACTCATGGCCATTGATCAGTGGTTGTTGATCAATGGTCATGAGAATTTGCATACTAATGATCAAGGAACTGACCTCCCAGCCCATTGTTCCATCAGTGGGGCTGGTTTCAGTAATTTTGGAAATGTACTGTTTATAAGATTGGAAACCTGCAGTCAGCTGAGACTGAAGAAGTCACCTGGATGAGTGACGAAACGTTTCTCCCACTGAAAACGCTACGTCCAGATGAACAGAATCAACCTTTGGAGTGTTGACCATAATATCCTATTAGCGCGATTAGAACATGCTGTAGGTATTACAGGTACTGCACTGCAGTGGTTTGTATCATATCTATCTAATAGACTCCAGTTTGTGCATGTAAATGGAGAGTCCTCTTCACACACTGAGGTTAATTAGGGAGTTTCACAGGGTTCAGTGCTAGGACCAATTCTGTTTACATTATACATGCTTACCCTAGGCAGTATCATCAGGAGGCATAACATAAGTTTGGATTCAGGAGACAGACACTATCTCTACATTTAAAATTGGGCTTCAAACTTTCCTTTTTGCTAAAGCATATAGTTAGGGCTGGATCAGGTGACCCTGAATCCTCCTTTAGTTATGCTGCAGTAGCTCTAGGCTACTGGGGTCTTCCTACACAGTAAAAAATGGAATGTCAGTATTTTAGAGGAAACCTATTTTAACCTCGATAGAGCACTTAAAACTCAGGAGTAAATCAGCTCTAATAGTGGAGTTAAAAGTCAGTGTAAAGTGAAGATTTAATTCCACACAGTATTATGATTAGTACCAGTCTACAGGTGTGGGCAGGCTCAGAGCTGTGACCCACGTGGACTTTTCCCTGGTGAGGTGTCACAGTCAGGTAAGTTAACATTCCCATACTGGTAACATCGTTTAATAGGTATTTTTCCACTAAATAGCTCTTTACAGTTTCACTGATGTCGTGTGAGAACATGTTAGCAGCATATACTCATCAGTTTAAAGATATTGTCGAGTAGCTACATGCTGACTGTTTCTAACAGTTCAGATGTTTATCTTTTCATTCAGTTTCACCTTTTAAATGTTATCTATGTATTTATTCTAAATGCTGCTGACATAATATTATTTCCACATGTCCAATGGCATAGTTTTAACAGCTAAATTACTGCTTTGTTCATTAGATGACACGATAAATGCTGCTACTGTAACCTGTAGCTTTGGGTTTCCTTCCATCATATAGGTTAGAGCAGCGGTCTCCAGCCTTTTTTGCGCCATGGACCGGTTTATGCCCGACAATATTGTCACGGACCGGCCTTTAAGGTGTCGCGGATAAATACAACAAAATAAAACTAGTACCGGTACCGAAAAAAAGAAGATTTATTCATAACACACGTGAAAAGACCCAGGAAAACCGAGTTAACGATAAAAACGATAACAAAATAACGCTGAAAACCGATAAAACCCTGAAAACCATACATTTCACACCTGAGCCTCAACTCTCGCGGCCCGGTACCAAACGACTCACAGACCGGTACCGGTCTGAGGCCCGGGGGTTGGGGACCGCTGGGTTAGAGCACAGATTTATCACAGGATCAATATGAAAACTTGACACCCCAGAGAAATAAAAATGAAGTATTAAAGAATCAGAATCAGAATACTTTATTCATCCCGAGGGAAATTAGGGTTACAGCAGGCAGCACGCTAATGGCGCATGCGCACTTACAAAGGAACCTTCTGACCAACTTTACACAAACATCACATTGGGCAGACATGTCAGAAGGTAGGCTGATAGGAAAAAACAACGAAAATACACTACATGAGGTAAGAGGAGGAGAAAAAAAACTCCACTCAGACTGAGCTCCTAGTGGGAGAACAGTTTGATAACAGAAAAAACACCTCAGCACAAAAGCACATGACTATCAATACACCATAGAAACACAAGACAAGCAACGTGTAATCAGATTACTCGGAACAGTGTCAATATGTAATATTTTCACATATTTCATTGTTAATTTTAAC